TTGGCAATCTAAGGTACCTCTTAATTACCCACTGATCTAGCCTCAAGGAAGATGAAGCAGGATCAGGATGTTATAGAAAAAGAATAATTTTATATAAAATCCAAGGGTTTTCTCCCTTTCTCTCTCTCTCTCTCTCTCTCTCTCTCTCTCTCTCTCTCTCTGAAACAGAGAAAACCGGGACTTTACTGTAGTTATTACTGAAGGAGGCAGTCAGAGCTCGTAACTGGAGCTTCAAAGGATTATGCTTTTCCACTGAACACCTATCGTGCCTCAGTGCTTTGGGATTCTGGGAGAAGGAGTTCTATGCTTGTCTTCCTATTGGGGAAGCTGGTAACATTGCTGAAACATGAGGAAGGACTTGAGGAATGTCACTCTGTTAATGGGGGAGGGTAACGTTTCAGCTAAAAACAAATGTCCACAACATAAACATAGAAAGCAAATGGAATCCGAAGTTGTTCTACAGAGAGAAGAGGTGGGAAATTTAAGACATTAAATCTGAGGCTCCCTCTACTGAAAGTGAATCTAGATGGTTGAAAATTATGAAGTTACCTAAAACTAATGTCACACCTGGTATGTGCTTAGACAGATACTAAGAAAAAAGACAAGAAGGCCAGCTTCTGCTCCTCTGGGAATTCCCACATTACTGGGACCAGGGGAAAGTAGGTGGAGGAGAAGAGTGTGTATTTAGAACCATAATTATTTATCTATTATGACACAGTAAGTCCCACCACAGAGATATGATATATGAATAAAAATATATGTAGGGATAAATCTGTCACAAAGGGGCACCTAAACCAACCAACCAATTAATAAGGGAGGTCTTCAAGAGACAGCTGCTGTCAGGTTTGTGGCTTAAGAGGTAGAATTTATTTTAGCTGGCAATTCTCTGTTAAAAGTTAAAGAGAACAAAAGAAACACTTACAGATTGCTGGGGGTTGTAAAAATTGATTCAGTCACTTTGGGGAATAATTGATATTGTAAGTCAATATTCCTAGACATACACTGTAGACCTTAGAACAGAGAAACTCTTCTACATGTGCAACTACAATTATTGATATACAAGAATGTTCATAGGATCATTGTTTGTGATATTACATTTTGAATTTTTCTTACATATTCTAATTTTTAGACATAAAAGAAAAATATAATCCTTGATGCATATATGTGTATATGCATATATATATGTATTAGGACATACTGTGGTCTTGATAAATTAATTAATATTCATGTTATATTTAAACAATGTAACTAGGATCCCCTGATTAGAAATATATACAGAAAGATTGCAACAAAATAAAATACTCAACAAGAATAAAACTATCCAATGGTTTAATAAGATTGTTTGTATATCATCCAAAGGAGGGTTTAAGCTGATGCTGACTGACCAAGGAGGAAATATCGTGGAATGACCTCTAGCAATATGTGAAAGGTTGAAATAAAAATAACCCAGTTCCTTTATAATCCTAAAAGACTACGCTAGTCCGTTCTACTTCTTGTGGGATTTCCTTTCAGCCAGCATTCATTCCACAAGTCTCTAAAAATGTTTCCCCCAATTTGTTCAATTAATTGACTGTTTGAATTATTACCACACCTGGGTATTCTTGACTTCCCAGTCACACCATTCATGAATTTCCTCTTCCTCTCAGCTAAACAAATGGCACTGAAGTGTTCATTCTTTCTTTTGATGGCCAGTTAACATATCTAATCAGATGAAGTTACCGGTGAGTGCCACCGACCTTTACTTGGCCCTCTTGTGATTAAAATGAATACTGAAATATTATATTAATTTTCAATTTGCAAATGTAGAATATATTTACTTAGAAGGAGCACTTGAAGCCAGGAAAGAAGATTGGCTCACAGAATGCTCGAGTTTGATAGCTCAGCTGGACTGACCCGTCCATTTATATTGAACCACAAAAGTATACCAGCCAACCACACAACAACATGTGCTCGGGTCGCACTGACTGGGCTTTTCAAATCTCTCTCTTCAACTTGTTCCTGTATACATCTACTCTCAGAGCCGGGAGATGACTGTTTACATCTATCTTAAGTCTTTCACCCTATAGTATAAACCCATTTTCTTTTAATTCTCTGCAGCTAAATATCTCAGTAGCAGAGTGATTTTATTTTCCACAAAATGAGAATCAGAATAAAATCACATCAACTATACAGGTCATGTATGATACTGGGCACAGTGATGGATTCCAAGAAGTATCATAGAACAGGTTGGCAGCTATCTTTGCTGTGCCGAAAACACAATATTTTGATAACAGTAATGTGCTCAATTTCCTCAAATAAAAGTTAACAGCCACATATTTTTATGTGTTAAATGGCAACATTTAAAATACAAAAGATACACATTTTGTGCAGATCAATAATAATCTCCAAACAATTTACACATGGTTTACTACTTCTTACTATATTGTGGTAAGTGGTTTTGGTATTCAATCTAGAGATAGATACAACCATAATGTACTAGGGAAAACATGAAATTGATTTTTTTTACTGCTCTAATGTAAGAAGATCACAAATTATTTCACACTTTTCAAGTACATGCAACTTAATTTGATGTGTAGTATTCAGGACTGCTACATTCTGCAAGTATTTAAGTAACTTGGAATTTCTCTGAATAATTATGAATTACTGCATTGAGATAGGGAATGTGTTACCTTGCAAAGATTACCTTGATGCAATAATTACAATTTCATCTTTCCTTTTATTTTAGCTACATACAAATAGCTTACATGGCTGAAGGAAGGATAGTGTTCTATTTTGATTATAAAGCAGTATAGTTGTAATTTCAAATTAAGTAAGGCATGCCCCAAATCTCTCTCTCTCTCTCTCTCTCTCTCTCTCTCTCTATATATATATATATATATAGCCTCCTATGGAAACAGACTCCTTTTCATTATCCCCAGGAATATGATGACATTTAGTACTTTGCCAGCTGAGGTTCCAATTAGATAGCTCCATATGCCACAGACGCCCTGAGGCCTGTGTGGACCCCGAGGACAAAGGTGATTGTTTCAGTTATTTTCCTTGGATGGCTTACCTAGCCTTGGCCTCAGCATGGGGCAAGGCACTGGGAGCCCGACGCATGCAGCCATGTAATTATGAATTTAAGTCTATTTTCTTAATTTAAATATGCTTGAGAAGCTTACATGGCTTGAATCTGAAAATTCCTGTGGCCTGGTCACCGGGTAGGATCAAGGTTCCCTGATGTGAGAGTTGATCACATTTTTCAGGAGCTTTTTTGAAAGATGCTTTTTGGTAGAGGAAATTGAAGGCCCAAAATGTCAAAGCTTAGAGAAAATGCTACTCATTATCTGTTCTATTTTTATTGTTTTAGTTAAGACATTGAGGTTGAAAAAGCTGCCGCCAGCCACTGCAGCCTGACCGATGGCTATGACAGCACAGAAGAATCTGCAGAGGCGCGCACACCGCCCCTACTAATGTGCTGAATGGATCATGAGTGAAACCTAGACACTAGTAAGAGAAGGTAGGAGCAGAGCTCAGAGAAACAGAAAGTCTAGGGTAGAATCAGTGACATTTGTGCCAAAATATTTTCAAGTGTGTGCAGGGGGAGAGGGGAGGACGGGACTGAGCAACTCTTGAGAGGAAGGGATGGTTCTGATCTATTACCAGAGAGTCTCACGAAGCAGTAACTAGCCTAGTAATTCCCAATTCCACCTCTAGCCACTCACAGGTTCACAGGCCTGGATCGCTGACCCTGAACATGGATCCACGTGTAGGATACAGGGAATTTCTCAGCTCCTAGAACATTGATTCCTGCCCATCCTTTATTTGTCTTCCATTTCTCTTTTCGTGTATACCCTTCCCAGTTTGCTCTGTACTCGATGAAATGGAGCCTTTGCTCCGCTTATTTTTCTCTATGGGATAAGCTGTTCTGTCACGATCTGCACATAGTTTTTCTCTCTGGAAAGGAGCCACCTGTCCTCTCAGGCCTGTTCTGCATCCCACAGCAGCCCCGCACTCTGGACGTTTGTCCTTTTAAGATTCTGTTTCGACATAAAGTTAGATGTTAGTGAATTCAGTAAGAAACTACTCTTGCTAAATCAATACACAGCAGCGGTTTTGTTTTTTCATTTTGGAGGTTTTTCCAGTGACATCCACCAGGAAGCTCATGAAGCCAAGTGGCCGGCTGTCCACTCGCCCTGAGGAGGCTGAGTTCTAAAGAACAGCGAGGGAAAGAGTCCTGCTCGAAGGTGAAGATACCTGTGGTCTTTCAGTAAAAGCCAAAAGGCTTAAAGGCAGAGTGGGGAAATTTAAGAATTTAGCACAAAAATACAAAGTGAGCTAAACTAGACTTTGTTGAAGCAGCTAGTTTTTCCAATCAAGTCATGCTAATGGGTCCATTTTACCCATTCTAAATTTATTAATAAATTATACAATTATTTTACTATTAAGTTATTAATTTTCAGAAAAAAATCTGATGTACTCTAAAAAAAAAAAAAAATTAGATTACCATCTGATTACAATTATAGGCATTGGTTTATGAGCCCAGGTGAAATTCCAAGGTTTCGATTTGATTATGTAGTATGTTACATAAAAAGCAGATAAGAGAGGCAAATACTCTATATGAAATATTTAAAGGTACCTGTAATTTCTGATGTTAATTTTATTTTAAAATATCATCTAATATTATTGTGAAATGTCAGATTCATTTCTTAGATTCCCAGGTACAGTAAGCAATAGTTCTTATGCATTGGTTAAGAGTTTTCTAAATTTCTAATGAATTAATGTGCTGTACTGTCTCATTATCTAACTTTCCCACACTTAAATGGCAGGTAGTAATAGCAGATGTGTTTCATGAATACATATACTGAGTACAGTCTTAAAACAATATATGATAGTCTTTGGAATTTCAAGACACATACATGTAAAGATTAAAATGAATAACGTTCAATTAAAAAATTAAAATAACAGTTGTCTGTGAACCAAAAGCAATAGGTGTAAAATAAAAGCAGGAGAGTACTTACCACAGTGAAATTCATTACTTTCAGTATCCATACTGTCATGGCTAAGTTAACGATCATGGTGACCAGCAGCACAAGGACAAAGAAGTACAAGCACCTCTTTCGCCATCCATAGATTCCCACTGGGTACAGCTGCGCATTCTCAGCCCTTGGCAGGTTATTCTGTTGTGTTGCTAGTATGTATTGTTCTCGTGTCATCTGGAAAAGAAAAAGAAAGACATTAAAAATTAAAACCAATGTTTTTTAAATTTTCTTTAATTAATTAATTAATTAATTTCTGTTACAGATGTTTCTCCTTTTCCCCCCACTGATTACCCCTCTCCCACCCTCCCCACCCCGTCCCCACCTATGTTTTTAAAAAATTGTAATCAAAAGACACAACATACCTAATAATAATGGTAGTGAGTGCTCAAATAATTATTGCTATGTAATCAAAATTAGTTATTAATTCATTTAATTAAAAGTAGTTTAAATGTTATAAATCCCCTCAACTCATTATCATCTATGTTGATTTTTAGAGCTATGTAACTGAGACTTCTATCTCAATGATGTATAGTGCCTTCAGTCAGGTGCTCCTAACCCTACAATAGCCTGTTCTCCCAGGAGTCTCTGAAGATGCTCAGGTCCACTTCCAGCTGGCTAAGACCCAACAACTGTACGCACACTCAGGGTACTCTTGGAAAACAAAACAACCCTACTCTTTGGGATTGACAAAGATCATTGTATCACAAGGCATTGATGTGCCTTTATCTAAAACTGCAGGATACAAGTAGCGTAGCATGTATGATTCAAAACAACAACAACAACAACACTGTATTTGTAAGAATCTATGGAAAGAAAATATGCTTTTATTTAGAATTACATAGATATATCTACTTAATGAAAACTTTTCTTTAGAACTCTGTTGGTTATTTATTTTAGTTGTATTTCAATGTGTTAGTAGAATGAAACTGATCTCTAAAAGAATGGATCAGTGTGCTATATTATCCCATAATACAGTGATTTTCAACTGGCACCACAAGAATTTTTAAAACACACAATACCTGACTAGTCAGGGGGCAATGACCTCTTTTCCCTTAGACTGTCAAATAAAAAAATGACAGTAGCCAATACAACAACATCCATCTGGAGTAAATGAATCAAAAGTATACCTTTTTTTTTCTTTCTGTCAAATCAGCAAAATATATGTTTCTTGGTGGGCCACAGAATTTAGTAATTACTTTAATGGGTGGCCTGAGATGAAAAAGGTTGAGAATCGCTGCTATAATATAAGGATATAAGCAAAAGTCCGTTTGGGAAAAGGGGGATGGTATTCTTTCAAAATATGCAAATTTTGGTTCTCAATTATTTCTTTCACAAAGAAAATACATTTTTTTTTTTTTACTGTTTGATACAACCTAGAAATATGAATTAAAAAAGGCAAAGGATATATATAATTTTCAGAATAACATATTTATTATCTAAAGGATGGAAACTAGTTTTAATGAAATGATTTTTTTTATAGAATAGTTTTTGATTTTCTTCCTCTTTAGGTTTTTCTCAGTCTTTTTTTTTTTGCATTTCAACTAAATAATATACCAACAACAATATAATACATAAATTATACCAAAATTAAAATTACCCCTCAGGTAATATAAAATATATACAATAAAAGTATTAAGTTATGTTTTTTATTAATGCAATCCTACTGTAGTTAACATTTTGAACAATATATTGAAAAATGCGAAAAACGCAAATTCTCATTTGGCTTTTCCCATTTTTTGTTTTAATTTTAGAGCTATAATTTCAAATTGCATTAACAAAGTTAAATATTATGTTTTCAATTTTTAAAATTAAAATACATTATATTTCATATAAAAGTTATATGCATCAAATCATAACTGCAAATGAATTAGGCATTCTAATAATATTAGCTGATGAAGAACAAATTCTTTCATAATACAAAAAATTACCTTTTTATTATCATTATTACTATTTAAGTTAGTATTTACTATTTCCTTGAAACTAGCTAAAAAGATTCAGTTCTTAATTAGATTCAGTTTGGAGGGAAGATGTGTCCTATGAACTGCTACGTAACGTAGGTTTCATAATAGGTAACAACTCATTATTACTATTTAAGTTAGTATTTACTATTTCCTTGAAACTAGCTAAAAAGATTCAGTTCTTAATTAGATTCAGTTTGGAGGGAAGATGTGTCCTATGAACTGCTACGTAATGTAGGTTTCATAATAGGTAACAACATCCCCCTGGGATTTTCTTTGCCTGCAGATGTTGGTGAAAATTGTACAGTTCTGGCAGTGGCTATGATTACAAAGTAGAGAATATACTATATGAAGAGGATGTGAGTCACTCTTGGGACCATCGTGATTAAGGGGAGAATAAGGAAGATGGATGGAGGGGAGCAGAAACCCGCAGGTGCCTGAGCAGCAGGGAGAAGGTCCCTTCCAGAGCAGGACTCTGAGCAACCAGATCAGATGCTGGGGCTATTCGAGCACGCACTGCCGTTACTCCCGTTGTTAAAGTGAACTTCTTTTATGCAATGCTCTATTTCTACAAATTCTATTTAGACATAAAGTGGAGATTAATGTGACTTTGAAAAGAAATAAAAATTCACTAGGTCTCTGAACTAAAGCACACACAAATTACAAAGAAAAAGACCTTTCAGCAATAAGTTTTTATTTTTATTTTTTGGAAAAGCAAGAGATTTAGTAAACATATCAAATGCCTCTAACTGTTTTGAAGAGCAAATTGGATAACAAAAGGCCAGGAGAAAAGGTTGTCAAGAAAACATGAAAAATTTTATTATATAATGAAAGTTATTTTTATTACCTCATCATATAAAGCTGACTTTTATATTATTACTTTATATATCTTTTTCATTACAAGATATTTTAGAGCATGTAAGCTGTAAAAAAAGAGTTTTCTTTAAAAAGTTCTTTATTTCTTAAATCTCACAGATTTTTCTCAAGATCACAAGAACTTTCTGTCACTGTTCAGTACAGTGACAGTACCAGGAGAGAATAAATATAGCTGTAGCTGTAAGAGATTAAGCAAATGATCCTAAATTTAAAACTTTTACAACATTTGCCTAAAATGTGAAATGCTACATTTTCAATTATTGAATATATTCTGAAATGTCTTGGTTGCTTTGGCATTGTGAGATTTCTATAAGTAATATAGGTAATTGTTTCACTAAGTGTTGTCATTCTAAAGAAGCCTATCAAACAACTCTATAATTGCAGAGATACTTATTTTCTCAGAACAGCTAAGTAGGCCTACTGAAAGAGAGAGAGAAATTTTCTGAGAGAAAATAAATATTGTGTACTGAGATATCTCTCTGGCTTAGTCCTCTCTACCTCCATCTGCAATATGAATTTCAATACTCTCAAAAATCTTTTTTTTTTTTTTTAATATTCCTTTGGTTTTCAAGGTGGTGTATACCCCGCCTGGATACTTAAAGGAAGTACAACCCTCTGTATCTTACTTTTGCACTTCTATATCATACCATATTTCATGTTGACAAAGCATACATTAGAGTTGAATAAGTTGGAAAACACAGTTTTTCTTAGTTAATAGCAAGGAGGTCTGCCTCTCCTTAGGATTAAGATGATCGTCAGATTCACAATAAGGTAAATGGACTTACTTATAACCCCTTGAAATTCAGATAAGGGCTGATTTAAATTTAGTTTTGTTATGAAGAAACATACTTTAAATATCCTGATAATGTGAATACAATTTCCAACAAGATGTTATGTGGTTAAATGAGAAATGCATGGGCAAATAGAATTAGACCTTGTAAATTTTTCAATATTTTTCTCCACAGATACAGGACATCTGGTTTTAAGAAAGGGCTATTTTGTTCAGCAAATTTAATAACATAGCAAATGAAGACTAGAAGAGAATGAAATATCTGAAATGAGCTAAACACGGTTCATCAGTGATAATCTGGCCCTGAGAAGTCTCCTGAGCTGGAGGGACAGGCAGAGATAGTAACTAGAGTAGCAGAGCTCATTTGCTGTTACTCCCTTACTTCCCAGAAGGAGACAACAGTACGAGATGCTAAAGCCAAAGGAATGTACTAATTATTGCCATCTAGCTGGCATCATAATTCATTTTCATTATTTTATGTAAATATTCAGAGTAAGGCACAGTAATGAGTCTCTAGGCAGAAGTGGGTCTTCACTTGATAAAATATGTATTTAGTGACAATTATGTGCAGGTACAGTTCAAGACTGTTGCTTTCATGAATTTCACATATTCAAAGAAGACACAATAAATAAATAAATAAATAAACAAACAAACAAATAGAAAAATAACACATCAAATAGTAACGTACTCTGAAGATAAATATGATAATATAAGAGATAAATATAATGATATAATAATAAATAGAATAATATTCAAATAACAAATTCAATAACATAATAGATGTATTATACAAGCTATACAATATTAAATAGCGACAGATTATATGAAGATAATAGGCAAGATAATATAACGGGAGGCTACTTTAAACATGGTGATAAAAGAATGTTTCATACAAGAAGGGGCTCCTGAGATGAGACTGGAAGGAAGAAGTCTCAGAGAAGAAAGGTAAAACAGATCTTTGCGTGTCCAAAGGCCTAACTGGAGGGGGCTAATTAGAAAATGAAAATGAAGAAGTAAAGAATGTACATATATGGACCATTTCTTGAGGGGAGAAGAAGAACAACAATGGGATTTCCTATGAGAGTCTGGAGTCAGATGTTGGAGTATTAAATCAGAGGCCAGTGCAAGTCTACACGACAGAGATGAGAAAGCGAATGGAAAGGAAACAAAGAGACTTAATACAGGGCCAGTTTTTGAGGTGACAAAGCTGGACCCAAGGTTGAGTTATGCATTCTCCAAGGTGTAGTGGCAGAGGAACTAGAGATAATGAAGGATAAATTACCCAGGCATCTGGGTTCCACAAGTGGGGGTCACATAGACAGGTTATAATTATTATAATCCAATGTGACTGTGTCTTGACCTCACATACAGCATTCTGACATGGAGAATGCACACCGGCATCCGCTAAACCAAAGGTCGCTGTGCTGTGGTTGGAGTGTGCCGGTGCCCGGGGGGACAGTGGCCCTGAACTCATCTCCACAGCACACTGCGTCAGAGGCTCCGTTCCCTGAGGTTGGTCCCATTTGGATTTCAGTGTCTTACACCTAGAA